CTATGATGTTTTTGGCCTTACTATACTATGATGTTTTTGGCCTTACTATACTATGATGTTTTTGGCCTTACTATACTATGATGTTTTTGGCCTTACTATACTATGATGTTTTTGGCCTTACTATACTATGATGTTTTTGGCCTTACTATACTATGATGTTTTTGGCCTTACTATACTATGATGTTTTTGGCCTTACTATACTATGATGTTTTTGGCCTTACTATACTATGATGTTTTTGGCCTTACTATACTATGATGTTTTTGGCCTTACTATACTATGATGTTTTTGGCCTTACTATACTATGATGTTTTTGGCCTTACTATACTATGATGTTTTTGGCCTTACTATACTATGATGTTTTTGGCCTTACTATACTATGATGTTTTTGGCCTTACTATACTATGATGTTTTTGGCCTTACTATACTATGATGTTTTTGGCCTTACTATACTATGATGTTTTTGGCCTTACTATACTATGATGTTTTTGGCCTTACTATACTATGATGTTTTTGGCCTTACTATACTATGATGTTTTTGGCCTTACTATACTATGATGTTTTTGGCCTTACTATACTATGATGTTTTTGGCCTTACTATACTATGATGTTTTTGGCCTTACTATACTATGATGTTTTTGGCCTTACTATACTATGATGTTTTTGGCCTTACTATACTATGATGTTTTTGGCCTTACTATACTATGATGTTTTTGGCCTTACTATACTATGATGTTTTTGGCCTTACTATACTATGATGTTTTTGGCCTTACTATACTATGATGTTTTTGGCCTTACTATACTATGATGTTTTTGGCCTTACTATACTATGATGTTTTTGGCCTTACTATACTATGATGTTTTTGGCCTTACTATACTATGATGTTTTTGGCCTTACTATACTATGATGTTTTTGGCCTTACTATACTATGATGTTTTTGGCCTTACTATACTATGATGTTTTTGGCCTTACTATACTATGATGTTTTTGGCCTTACTATACTATGATGTTTTTGGCCTTACTATACTATGATGTTTTTGGCCTTACTATACTATGATGTTTTTGGCCTTACTATACTATGATGTTTTTGGCCTTACTATACTATGATGTTTTTGGCCTTACTATACTATGATGTTTTTGGCCTTACTATACTATGATGTTTTTGGCCTTACTATACTATGATGTTTTTGGCCTTACTATACTATGATGTTTTTGGCCTTACTATACTATGATGTTTTTGGCCTTACTATACTATGATGTTTTTGGCCTTACTATACTATGATGTTTTTGGCCTTACTATACTATGATGTTTTTGGCCTTACTATACTATGATGTTTTTGGCCTTACTATACTATGATGTTTTTGGCCTTACTATACTATGATGTTTTTGGCCTTACTATACTATGATGTTTTTGGCCTTACTATACTATGATGTTTTTGGCCTTACTATACTATGATGTTTTTGGCCTTACTATACTATGATGTTTTTGGCCTTACTATACTATGATGTTTTTGGCCTTACTATACTATGATGTTTTTGGCCTTACTATACTATGATGTTTTTGGCCTTACTATACTATGATGTTTTTGGCCTTACTATACTATGATGTTTTTGGCCTTACTATACTATGATGTTTTTGGCCTTACTATACTATGATGTTTTTGGCCTTACTATACTATGATGTTTTTGGCCTTACTATACTATGATGTTTTTGGCCTTACTATACTATGATGTTTTTGGCCTTACTATACTATGATGTTTTTGGCCTTACTATACTATGATGTTTTTGGCCTTACTATACTATGATGTTTTTGGCCTTACTATACTATGATGTTTTTGGCCTTACTATACTATGACATTTTAATGTCTTTCTATGCCTTTTTATTCTATGACATTTTTCTGACATTTTATGCCTTACTATACGATGACGTTTTATGCCTTTTTTTTGCCCATTTTATGCCTTAATATACTATGTTGTTTTTATGACATTTTATGCCTTTTTTTACTGTGACATTTTATGCCTTACTATACTATGACATTTTAATGACTTTCTATGCCTTTTTATTCTATGACATTTTTCTGACATTTTATGCCTTACTTATACTATCACGTTTTTATGACATTTTATGCCTTATTATACTGTGACATTTTATGCCTTACTATACTATGAAGTTTTTATGACTTTCTATGCCTTTTTATACTATGACATTTTTATGATATGTTATCCCTTACTATACTATGATCTTTATATGACGTTTTATGCCTTACTATACTATGACGTTTTTATGACTTTTTATGCCTTTTCATACTATGACATTTTTATGACATTTTATGCCTTACTATACTATGACATTTTAATGACTTTCTATGCCTTTTTATACTATGACATTTTTATGACATTTTATGCCTTACTATGCTATGACGTTTTATGCCTTACTATACTATGACGTTTTTGTAACTTTTTATGGCTTACTATACTATCACGTTTTTATGACACTTTATGCCTTACTATACTGTGACGTTTTGTGCCTTACTATACTATGAAGTTTTTATGACTTTCTATGCCTTTTTATACTATGACATTTTTATGACATTTTATGCCTTACTATACTATGACGTTTTATGCCTTACTTTACTATGACGTTTTTATGACTATTTGTGCCTTACTATACAATGCCTTTTTTTTGGACATTTTACGGCTTACTATGCCAAGATGTTTTTTGCCCATTTTATGCCTTAATATACTATGAGATAATTTGCTATTTTTATGCCTTAATATACTATGACGTTTTCATGAAGTTTTATGCCTTACTATACTATGACGTTTTTATGACGTTTTATGCCTTTTTATACTATGACATTTTTATGACATTTTATGCCTTACTATACTATGACGCTTTATGCCTTACTATACTATGACGTTTTTATGACGTTTTATGCCTTTTTATACTATGACATTTTTATGACATTTTATGCCTTACTATACTGTGACCTTTTATGCCTTACTATACTATGACATTTTTATGACGTTTTATGCCTTACTATACTATCACGTTTTTATGACATTTTATGCATTACTATACTACGATGTTATATGCCTTAATATACTATGACATTTTTTTGACTTTTTATGCCTTACTATACTATGATGTTTTATGCCATAATATGTTATGACTTTTTAATGACCTTTTATGCCTTACTATACTATTACATTTTTATGACATTTTATGGCTTACTATACTATGATGTTTTTTGCCCATTTTGTGTCATAATTTACTTCGAGATTTTTTGCCATTTTTATTCCTTACTATACTATGACGTTTTTATGACCTTTTATGCATTACCATACTACCATGTTATATGCCTTAATATACTATGACATTTTTTTGACTTTTTATGTCTTACTATACTATGACAATTTTATGACTTTTCGTGCCTTACTATACTATGATGTTTTATGCCTTGCTATAGTATGACATCTTCATGATGTTTTATGCCTAACTATACTATGACGTTTTTATCACTTTTTATACCTTACTATACAACGACATTTTAAGCCCTTCTATACTTTGACGTTTTTATTACCTTTACGGTGACTTGTACTTAGACTTGTACCTGGACTTGTATATACATTAATGATATTGCTTCATATGTACATACATTTAATATATGGAGATTCAACATCTGTACATATATAACATTTGCGTATAGGCATTTCTGAATGTAAATTCAGATCTTATATGTAAATAAACCATTTGGTTGATGGCATTAAAAAGTCAGTCCCTTTGTTTTGGAGGGGTGGCGGAGTTGTTGCAGCCCTACCAACGTTGAGACCAAACCTACCAAAATTTAATTGTGCTTAAGGCCCCACAAAGGCTTGGGCCGGCCCTGCTTTGGAGAATAAGGTCTTTCTTGCTTTTAGATCCCTTTGTTTCTCACAGTATATTATCAGTCCTTAAGACGACAGGGTCAAGTAAAAGGTTGGCAAGAGGAGTACAGAAGCACAGCATGAGCTGAATACATGAGCCCACGCAGTCCGGGTTCAAAAGTTTTTGAGGAATTAGTCCGCTGATCTGCTGAGTCAACATGAGCTTGGTTTTCTTTTGGCCTTGTTTGATCATGCAAGCTGACCAAGAGCACATTCCTGTTTGCAGGAAAGGGTTGTGAATCAGTGATACTACAGTATGTTTCTGAAGGTGCCTGCAGCTTGTTGGTATCTAGCAAATTTAGGTTTGAATGACACTTGTAACAAGACTTACTCTAAAATCCTGAAGTTGGTAAAACAGATGATGGGAGATGTTTTTGGTTGCTGAAGGCCTAATGATACAGAAAAACACAAACGAGAACATGAGGTTACAGAGGGGTAAGGCCTTCTGTGCATGGGCATGTGTGTGTGCGTGTTTGTGTGCATGTGTGTGTGTGTATGTGTGTGTGTGTTCAGCGTTTGTTCAGTTGGCAGCAGTCTAGGCTATAATCTTGCCTCAGGCACAGCGCTCCATTGTTTGCTTCGAGAATCTGCCGAATCCACAGATCCGGGTGCACAGCCACGCACACATACACACACACACACACACACATGCATACACAAGCAGCAGAGCCTGAACAGAAGCTGGCATTATAATAGCTATCAGATCCCCGCGGAAACCATGTGTCCTAATCATGAATGAATACAAAGATGCTATTTTTGGCCCCACCTCCTTGTTCCCATAAACCCCCCTGTATGTCAGAAAGAAAGACAGGACGACAATGAGGGCTTTCTGGGGACATGTGACAACTTTAATTAATCACAGTTCTCTTTCTGTCTCTCTTTCTCTTGCTTCATTACTTTTCACTCTCACAGATTATGTTCATTAAAATTTAAATTGCAACTGTTCTTGCAACCTGTTCTCGCTCTATATTATCCCTTGCTCACCAGTAACGTTGGCTTTAAAGAATTTCTTGATACCATGTAGTAAATTTGATGTTGCTTTTTCATCTCTTTCCTCCCTCTCTCCACCCAGAGTTTGTTGTCAGAGGTGGCGGTGGTGGTGTCAGTGGAGGACAAGGCAGTCAGCAGGTACTGGGTGTCTGTGTCACCTGTCTGTCCTGACGGTTCCACAGCAAAGGACCAGAGCTGCTCAGGGGTTCAGCCCGACCAGACGGTAAACACACAAACATAATTTCCATATGCAGAAGTATCAGAATGCACACGCATGATGAAGAATTTGGCTAAATGTTTCTCAGATTTATCCATAAATCTTTGATTTAAGATCCTAGCGATATCAGTGGACATTTATTGGTTGGATTGGATTACTGTGACACATACAAACACACACAAGACATCACTGAGAGCTTTACGTGACAGAAAAGATTTTGTAAATAATCCGAGCTGAGAGGATTATAGGCTGTATTTAACAGGAAAACATTTCCATGTGATGTCATCCTAAAATACCTATTTTTCCTTACATCAGAACTTTTATGCAAACAATTAGGACATTCATATTTAGAAATAGGTCACTGGACATCCACTGCCATCATACCTGAACCATTTATCTGCAAAAACAAAAGTCCTATAGTCTGCACCACTACAAAGAGCTTTTATATATATATATATATATATATATACTTCTTGGCACCACACAGGAGCTCATTTGGTACTAATTGGAGTGTTTTGACTCTATTTGGAAATTTTCTTTCTGTTCATCCCCTAAACTGCCTATGAGACTCCTCTCCTCCTTAACCTTTTGGGGCTCTTAACTTTTTCAAACACAAAGCTGCTTAAACACTACTCTGCAGTTAGTCCTATTGTACAAAGTAAGTGAAGTTCATCCATTTAATCCACGGGTGGATTAAAGTGAATTATGGAAAGTACCCATGCTTACCAGAATGGTGATAAAAATCAAGCAAACAGCCTGATTGTTGATTCACAGCTTTGGCATGCACAATGTTCCACATAAACCACATCAACAGAATAATCATCAAATTAAGCTAGCCCCCGGGTCCTTATCCAACTATTTAAGCCTTATCAGAAATTGTCATAATGATGCAATGAGAAGTAGCTCATTTAATGTCATTCTTTTTAGATTAACACCAGGAGTTTCAAGGGGAAAAATTTTCTTCAGTCTACTTTAACTGACTATTTAACAAGCAGAAATGCTTGTTAAATAGTCAGTCATTAATCTGTTCTTCTGGTATGTTTTTTACTTGTCTCGCCTTATGTGAAGATCTGTCACTCCCCTTTCTAATGGAAATGGGCTTTCAAGGTTATCATGTATTTTAACTGCAACAAATTTATTTTTACTCTATGTCAGGACCGGGTGATTGCAGTCTTGTATTACCTTTAATATTGTCAAATTAGATCTACTTATCTACAGCCATGTTAGCAGTTCTGTGAGGCTACACAGGCACAGAGCTGCTTTGAGCTCAATGTTAATGTCAATAACAATAACAATGCTAACATGCTGATGATAAGCAGCTTTACTGTTTACCATTTAGAATCATTCAGTAGCTGTTTTCAACATCTTTGTCTTTTCATGCAGGTTTACTTCAATATCACCATTGGCCTGCACTCCTGTCCTGATGATGGTGAAGATGAAGATGTACGAGTGATGGTTCGTCCTGTGGGATACAACGAATCCACTGTCATTAGGATTCACTCTAAATGTCGCTGCCGTTGTGGATCAACAAGGCGCTGTCATGACGACAGCCAATCACCATGTACAGGGACCCAGGACGGTGCCAATCAGCAACAGAGGCAAGATCATGGACTGATTAACGACTCAAACAGAGATTCAAACTGGAAATGCAGAGCCGATGGGTCTGATGTGGACTGCAGTGGTCGGGGCGTGTGTGAGTGTGGAAAGTGTGTGTGTGACCAGAGCAGGCTTGGGACAGTGTACGGGAAATACTGCCAGAGAGATGACTTCTCCTGCCCGTATGAAGGGGGACTGCTGTGTGGGGGTAAGGGGGACACACTTTAAAAATTAAAAGTATTACGTACATTTAGCTCAAAGAGATATGACAAGAAATTAAAAAGTTATAATATGAGCAATTTTGATGCAAAACATACATAGTCCACAAGTTTTCATTCACCTCTGTAACACTTTTCCTCCTGTCACTGTTTGTCCATCTCAGGACGGGGTGAGTGTGTGTCAGGTGAATGTGTGTGTGAGGATGGCTGGACGGGAGATAGCTGCGCTTGTCCCGTCTCCAAAAGGACCTGCCAGTCAGCCAGCGGCTTGTTATGCAGCGGACGGGGAAGATGTGTGTGTGGCAAGTGTGTGTGTGATGACCCCCGATACTCTGGAGACTTCTGTGAGAGATGCCCTGCTTGCCAAAGCACCTGCCAATCATACTGGTACTTGTCACTTTCTGTTTCGCTACCACAAAGCATGATTGGAAGCTCCTACAGACCGATTTGTAGTTGAAGCTGACACACGGTTTTGTCTCTTTCTTTTAGGAAGTGTGTGGACTGCCACCTGTCTCACGGGCTCACACAAAAAGAGGCAGGACACTGCAACAGCACCTGCGCACCATTGGTGGGCTACATGGATGATGTATCAGGTAAACTCAGTTTAGCCAATAGAATCTGCACTGAGCACAAATTTCACATAGGCTTTGCACCATTCATGTTTTTTGTGGATATCAGGAGAGATGAATTTACTTATAATATGACATAATATCATGGATTGTATATGTGTTTAATTCAAACCTTGGGCTTCATCCGAGCTTAACCCTGATAAAAAAAGTTTTAACTAAGAACCTACAGAGTAACCAATCACCAGGTGCTCTAATTTGGTCTCCACCAACTCCTGAGAAACGACTGGCACACAGCAACTAAATGCTCCACTATGTTCACCAGTCTCTAATACTCATTCTATACGATAATTAGCACATATAAGCATGTGTTTCAAATACGGGTAAACCAGCTAAAAAGGCAATTGACTCTTTTCACACTGCCAGAGGAGTTTGCCTTTCTTTTCAGACTGAGAGGACACAGACACACAACTGCAGGGAGCAATGCCATCACATGCAGTTGCAGAGAGAGTGATTGTGTGTTTTTCAAACTCTTTGAGCGCAAGGTGTAGTGCAGTGACAATCTGGTTTCTGGTTTAACAGCTCCGTGATGGTCAGGTGACAGGTCTTTTTACAGTGTTTGTGCTCTGAAAGATGTTACAGCACAGAAAAGGGGCAAAAATTAGCGTGTTCACCTGGGTGCCATGTTTATATGTTTATATATATATATATATAAAAATATTGATTAGTGCAGCTTAGTTGGGAAATGAAGAGCTGTTGAGCTCTTGGGTTAAGATTGTCCCTGAGTCTTTCTAGACTGTAAATCATCTCACTCTCGCTCACTCTCTCTCTCTCCATCTGTCTCTCTCTTGTCTTTTCTTCCATTTTTAGGTCAAGCAGGGGAGATGTGGATTCAGTGTATGTACATCAGTAATGACAGCTGTCGCTATCGCTTTCAAACCAGCTCACAGTCTGGTCAGACCCAGCTTCACATTAGCACAAGACCAGGTATAATGTCAACACACACATACACACACACACACACACACACACACACACACACATGCTTTCATTCGAGGTCACTTCCGTTGCTACCATTGCTGCACCACAGCACCCTGGTGTATTTGAGTCAGCAAGTCTGCTGTCAGTGTTACAGCTGTATTTTACATTTCCCTTCAGTTCCCAGGTCAATTTCATTTTGATTTTCACAGCCACACACACACACACACACACACACACACACACACACACACACACACACACACACAAATACACACACAATTTAAAACCCAGTAGTTCACACATGCCCTGGGTTACACACACACACATAATTGCACATCCAAGTGTAACAGTTCATCCCCGCCTTCCCAATTTTTGGAACAGCACTGCTCATTGTGCAGCCGCCCCCCCCCAACCCCCCTTCTCCTGCCCTGTCCCCACAGCCCCCCTCAACCCAACGGGACACTCTCTTCCTGCTCACGCCTACCCCTCCTGGGTGCAGCAGGAGCCAGGTCTCCATGGTAACCCTGTTACAAAATGTCAGAGCGGTCTTTGGGCTCTTTGTGTTGAGCGATGAACCCGTCATCCACACATGCTCCCCAGCAGATACACAGCCTCCTAACTATTCAGTACAGCACCACTGGCACAGCAGCCACTAACCGAGCTGCGTGTGTGTGTGTTGTGTGGAAAGTAACTAAGTGTATTTACTCAAATACTGAACTGAAGTGCAATTGTGAGGTACAAGATGTAAAAAACATAAGATAAAAAACATAATAAGCCTCTGAAATTAAACTCATTGTTAAAGATGAAAAGTTAGGTGCCACAGATTTCCTTACACAAACCAAACAGGCATGTCAGAAAAATGATTACAAATGCAGTAGAATTTTGTTTATTCTTCTTTTTATACCACATTCATCTTTTCATGACCCCTCAGATTTACTTTCTGACCCTTAGGAGGGGGCCTGACCCCTAGGATGTGAACCAGTGACCTATAAAGTAGTTAAACAAGCTCTACTGTGTCCAGCTACGACAGTATATGCTGCTTATGCATCGTTGCATCACTATTAACAATGTAATATGTCATATATACAGTATATATATATATATTTATATATATATATATATATATAAAGTGACCATAACCATAAAGTTGGAATAATTTTGTTTTCAGACACAATCCTCTGTTTATTCCAATTTAAATGCATCAGTACTCACTTTGGAAGAATAAATCACATTGTCACAATCATTTCATGGAAAGAGGTAAAAAATATTTTATTCCAACTTTATGAGCAACAGTGTATATATAGCAATATATCTATAACAGGTCACCTTTTAATATGTAAAAAGTAGTTTTACTTTCGATGATTAAAGTACAATTTGCTGTAAATACTTCTGTGCATTTACTTAAGTAGGATTTTGAATGCAGGACTTGTAATGGAGTATTTTTACATCAATGTCTTGGTACTTTTACCAAAGTCAAGGATCTGAATACTTCTTGTACCACTGCTGCTCTTGCACGTCTTCTAAGTTTTAGACATTGAAAGTGAGGAAACTGAGGACAGTTCAGTCTGTCCTTCACTGTCTTCAAAGGGTTGGTTGAGGATTAAAACTTGGGTTTTAAGATTAAAGTTAGGATTGGGTTTAGGATAAGACCTGGGGTCAAGCAGGTAGTTTGTTAAGGTTGAGGTTTGTGTTACAGGATAGGGAATGCATTATACAAATATAGAAATGCAAAAAAAATCATTTGAGTGTGTGTTGGTTTTGTGTGGGTCAGTAGGGATGTCTGCACCTGCAACTATAAAATTATATTTCTTTTGCACATTTTAGTGTGTGTTTGAGTGTGTGTTCAGATTCCATTATGACCTATTTAAAGTGTTCCAGTTCTCCACAGTGAAACCTCATGTGTGTGTGTGTGTGTGTGTTCCTGTGTGTGTCCACAGAGTGTGCCAGCAGTAGCAGGCTTGTGGGAACGTTCCTCGGTGTATGTGCCCTGACAGTGCTGTGTGGGCTGGTGATGGTCGCCATGTCAAGGTTGGTTCTACAGAAAAAAGGCTGGTCACCAGGGGGCACTGCCGAGGATGGAGTTTATCACTGCACTGTAAAGGTTAGTTCTCAGAAGTCAAGTAGGCTGGTGGTGGATCAGCACTGCAGGGGTTTAATTGAGGGGAGGCTGAAGTGTCCCTGGAGCCCAAAGAAGCTTTAGGGAGCCCTTAAATCCTTAGGATACTTTTGTTAATGTGAACTGTTTGCTCAAACCAGGAGTGAGAAATTTGAGACTGCTGCTAGAGGTACAGCTGTATTTTACATTTCCTCTCAACTCCCAGCTCACCATGTACAGCGTCCAGATTTGTGACCTTACAGTGATGTATAGCGCCTTTGAGAAGAAGGAAAAGATGGAAATATGAGCAAGGGGGAGATATGTAACTGGTCTGAGTTGTTTACAATCGTTTGGAAAGCCCTCATTCTTTGTTCATCTTAATGACACTACAGATTATAGATTGGTCACCATGTTTCCACTGTGACATTACACTTTTAGGGGAAATGTGGTGTGTATTTTACCGTATCTGGGAGTTTTGCAAGTGTTGAAAAGCTGTATCTACTTCCTCAAGGATTACATAATGTAACAAATCATTGCCATCCACTTCTTCGGTTGAACATTTATGAAATCCCCATAATATTAAAGGGGCTGATTTTACGTCAAATTCAATTTAGTAGTCACCAGGATAACTACACAGCTTGTGAAGACAGCCAAGTCTGAAAAAATTATCCAAATGACATCAATTGCATAATTCTGGCTTGGCCAACTTTTTTTTTTTTTTTTTTACAGAAAATGTAAGGTCTTAATATTGTCAATGCACAGTATTCAAAAACTGAGAGCCCACTATATTTGTGGGGTCCCAAAAGTTTGAATAGACTTCAGAGCTGATTTAGTTTTACAGTTAGGGTTAGGCTCAGGTGGTTAGGCATTTGGTTGTGATGGTCAAGGTGTGGTCACAGGGCCAGGGAATGCACTATGTCAAATATAGTAAGACAAGGGTGTGTATGTTTGTGTATTACTGACTCCATATGTCTGTCACCCGACCCAGGACCTGTCATACATTCCTACAACCAATGAGAAGACAGTTACCTACAGGAGGGATCATACACCTGACCGCCCCGTGGAGATGCACATTCAAGTTCCCAAGATGCCCCTTGGTGACCCCTGGCAGTACTAGCCAGAGACCAGAGGTCATGGTCAGAAGCAAGGCAGTAGAAGACATAAGGAAGAAGAGTTGGACTAAAAGCTTCTTTTCTGTCTCTTAACTTTCATGAAACTTCAACCAGCTGTATGTGGAGACTGAGAGAGGTTAACTAAACTATGGAAACCTCCATGGAATCACATTTGTAAAATGAACTGACCAGACGCTCGTAGACTGTGTGACTAATGTGGCCAGTGGAAATTGAGATGAGACAAAGAGCACAAGTCCCCTGCCTCTCAAAGGGTGATCATTCCTCGCTTTTTAGCCATGCAGCAATTACTGCTCTAACTTATGGACACATGTGTGCGTGTGTGAGTGTGTGTGTGTGTGTGTGTGTGTGTGTGTGTGCGATTATGTGTGTGTGGTGCAGGTAGATGCATTTGTGCTCTATCTAGGCTTTCTATTTATAATTTTATAGTAAAAACACTACATGTTTTAGGTTCATGTGACTGTGTGACACGCCAACTGTACTGTCTCCCTGTCTTAGTCTGCCCCCTCGTGGCCAGCTAGAGGTACGATATTTGCTCTCAAATAATACTGTCTACACATTACTGACCTCAGCTGTCTTGTGTTGGGATTTAATTCATGAAGCACACCAGTGACTCTTTATTTCTTCTTACATTGATTAGATTTTCAATCATTTGTGGAGTATCTGGTTTTAGTGTTATTTGTTGCATTTTGTTTTCATAAGTATATAGTTTCATATGATTGTCAGTTGTTAATAATCTGGTTAGACTTGCACTAGAACAATTGTTTTGCATTATACTACTGAAAACTGGGGTCTCTGGGGCAACAGAGCTGTAATGATGGGTCTGAGATGATTAGTTTGCTATTTGTTGGGCATTAGAGGGCATCTATTTGAAGCTAATGTAACAAAACCGCAACACTGGAATAACAATGGACTGAAAATCCATATGTAAAATACAGACACACTGATAATTAATGGCAACTTAATCATCAATCGCCTGAACATATGACCTCTATATCAGAGACTGAGCTGTGTGTGCATGCATCTGCTGATCATCCCAGAGCCATTACTATCCAGAACTCTAGATAAACTGATATGTTTAGACTCTGAGAGCAACTCCTGGAAAAGAATGAATGCATGAATGAATCGGCTGTAAAGCTACAGAGACTGGAGGTGGACTTAATCTCCTTATACTCCTCATGCACTAGATCCAGAGTGCCAGTTGCATGGCATCTTGTGACTTTTGCTTGCCCAACCCTATTCTTTTTTTTTTTTTTTTTGTATTTAACGCAAATGTTGTTTACAGCAGTAGCTGCTCTATTTTTCTGTAAGTCAGGAACACTAATGATTATTTATTGTGATTTTATTATTTTCTCTTTTATTGATATGTTAATTATACAATTTTATGATATGGCTACTTGAGTAATGGGTATTACTGTTTATGTTAATGAAGACTGGTCTATATCCTTAACCTGGAGAATAATTCAGCAATAAGGTAACAATCATCTCATTTTACCGGGCACGCGGTTCGGTGTAACAACAGCACTTTTATGTGTAGTTTTGTTGTCAATTAATGTGACTAGTTGTGTAGCATGTATGATTTCATCACAATAAATATGTGCAAGATTTTTTAAAAATCATTTCTTGAGTTCTGTAGCTTTTCCATACCAACAGGTCTACAGTTGCATTAAATTATTATTATTTTTAATCAAAGAGTTTGAATTGTGTTTTGCCGTTTTAGTCTGGTGAAACATATGACAAATACTAAGAAAATCACTAACATACTAAGAAAAGCAAGACTGCTGTCTCATTTGCAAGCTAGTCTGTATTTTCAATGAATACACTGTCAGTGTTTTCAATTAAGATGAATTTAAGGTTTTGTATAGATCTGGAAATTTTTTTTCCTTATATTTGCGTTGCAACAAAATACACAAAAGTTCAAAGTGTGACCAACTTCTGCTTTAAGCTTTAGCATCCGGAACCCATGTGGTCTAGAAAACAGATAACTGTATCAACTGAACACTAGGTGGAGATGCTTGCTAAGGCAACTGAGATAAGTGTTTCTGATCAATGTAAATATTTGCAGCAGTTGACAACTCATAAATAAAGTATTGCCAGTGCAGGACAGACCTAAAAAATAATTTAAATATCTTGATCAGGTAAATTTAATTTTTTTACAAGTCAAGTCAACAACTCAACAGAATTGTTACTTCAAGGTGTAGTTTACCAGATTTAATAGCCCATGTCTGTTCTAATACTGTCTAGGTCTTGACCTAGACCAAGACCAAAAATCAATTCATCAAATCCTAACAGCCCTTTTTGTTGGCTGAAGAGGCTGAATAAATAAACTTCAGGTGCCTGACAGAAAAGTTCATAGTATGATTAATGTTAGTGTTAGTAATTAATGCTTTGCCTGGTTTAGAATAGTCTAGATTGACATTTGATATTGGTTAAAGCCTACACTGTTTTGTATTTGTAATTCTCAGAAAAAAAGACTCAAACTATAATATAGCCTACAAAAAATAGCCTACACAAAAAAATGCTTTGGCTAAATCACATGCCTGGCAGGCCCAACGAGAAAAGAAAAATGTACCAAAATGATCCTGTTTGATGCAAGTTATAATCATGATTAGCAAGCAGAGATCAATTATAACAATTTGTTTCAACGAAATATATTTTAGATAACTTGTAACGGTAATGGCTTAACCTTAAATAATGAAAAGAGTGCAATGATGTCAAGAAAAAACAAAACAATTGAATAACAGACTACTTGTTTAACTAAATAAAAAATTGTAAATGTTTGTAGAATAAATAAGGCGCAAAGGATATCTTCAAATAAATCAAGTGTGATCAACTGTAGAGTAAAAATTTATTTTTGAGGGATACAAATAACATAATTCAGGACAGGACACAGTGTTCATCCACCGCTAAAGTTCATGATAAAGTGCCATTTCAGTTTTGGAGCGTCCAGGAAATCACTCTCCATACAGGCAGGTGCAGTGTAATCAAATGTCCACGTGTTGTTCATATTGATCTCTGTAAATTATTCCACCGCTCTCTGTCCCTCGCTGGTTTGGACAGTCTCGCGCACAAGCAGCCCAGGAGACTGGCTCGGACTACCGGGCAGGCTGTTGTCCGTGTCGCTGTTCCCTTTACCGAGTCCCGGTTCCAGGTTGTCCTCTGAGCCCTCCGCGCTGTGCGTCCTCACGTGCTTGCTGAGGTGGTCCGAGCGCATGAACCGTTTGTGGCAAATCGCGCACTCGAATCGCTTCTCCCCGGTGTGTGTGCGCAAATGCCGCTGAAGCTCGTCGGAGCGCGTGAAGCGTTTCCCGCAGAAGAGCCAGTTGCAGACAAATGGCCTCTCACCGGTGTGCCAGCGCAGGTGGGCCTTCAGGTGAGAGGTCTTGCCGTAGACTTTACCACAACCCGGAATGTGACAGTTGTGCAGGCCCCTCCGACGCGGGCTCGTGCCCCCCTGGCCAAGGCTCTCCGCCTCCTGGCAGTTTGGGCAGTCACATGTGGCTCTGCCGGAGTAACGCCGTGAGGAGGAGCGGGAAGATGCAGTCAGAGAGACGACGGGGGTTCCTGTTAGCGCAGGTGCCCCCGTGGTCGTAGACTCTGTGTAGGGAGCCGGAACAGGTGGCCTGAAGCCGTCAAACAGGTGCTGTGCGGCGGGGAGCAGGTGCTGGGAAGTACCGGGGCTGAATGCGGAGCTGTAGTCAGTGCTGTAGCCGCTCAGGGGAGAGGGTAACCCGCCCGGGGTTTGTGTGTCCACCCAGCTGGTGCCCATGTCCCACCAAGAAGAAGACGCGTTACCGACATCTCCCACGGGTTTGAACCATGACTCATAGGGATGCGCGTGCATCCTGGGATATATCCCCGCAATGCCATCCACCGAGGAGGGGAATTTGGTCAGAAACACAGACCGCTGTGCGTGTGTAGGATCTGAACCATTGCTGTCTGATGACGCAGCGGTGTGATACATCGAAAGATCATTTCCAAAAGGAGAGTTGACAGAGGTCACCGAGAAAGCGCTGGAGGTCTCCGTCAGTCCGGTGCCCCTGGAGGTCCCAGAGGGCACCCCGAGCGAGGTGAGACAGACTCCCAAGCCACTGGCGCCCGGGGCGCCCCCTCTCCAAGGGTGAAAGCCCTTGACGAGTCCCGGGGCTCCATCAGAGAGAGCAGGGGAACACGAGGGGCTGGGCTCGCCGATTCTGCTGCAGGTGGCGGCCAGCATGGCCAGCGGGGTGCTGCCCAACCGCGGCTCCTCCTGTGGGGAACACAAACATGTAGACCTGTCACTCCGGAGTGCTCGCTAAACATGGTGTGCGTAAACTCACACAAAATATTAGATATCATCATACACTGTGCGAAACTTTGGACCTCAAAGATTTATTAATGACTATTAACCACGAAAGTGTTTTTTTTTTCTTAAATCTTCCTTTTACTTAAACCATAAGCCCTGTATCAGCAGTCACTAACTGACGGGATCTATGAAAACAACAGAGGAAAGAAAACTGATGAAACTACTGCTATCGGATTAAAGAATGACAGAAAGACTCTAAGCCGCAGACATGGATACTGTTAGTTTATTATTGTATCACTATATGAATGTTATTGGTTATTACAGGGACAATACAAGAGGTAAAATTCCTCAAAGCATTAAGTTAACTGCTACACAGTGAGACCTGTAAAGGACATTACAACTATAGTAAACGAATAATTTAGCAGTTTCTCATTAAAAGATGTTTCAGCAAAAAAAAAGAAGAAGAAAGTAATGTAAACTTACCCCTAGCAGTGTAGCAGCCATGCTCTGTGCTGTGCTGTATCTTCGGCTGAGGTGTGTGTATGTGTGTATGTGTGTGTGTGCCCGCGTGGCCGCGGTGACTGTCTGTGATGAGTGTGTGTTTCCTCTCCGATTGCTGTAGTAGTTGTAGCCTCTTCATGGCTTTGAAGTACCGCTGAGAGCCTGAGGACCAATCAGAAGCCAGCTCGGACTGTCTCTGAACATTTGCGCTCGAGGTCGTCGTAAATTTTATAAAGTGAAGTTTCGCGAGGGGCGCATTTCAAGGAAAGAAACTCATAGCAGTGCTGGTTAATCAAAAAATAAATCAATAAAAACGACAAAAATCGGCCACACACTGAACTGTTTTCTGAGCAGGTGTATTTCATTTTGGTTAATAAATAAGTTTGCAGTTTTATCAGCAACTATTTATTTGTTAATGCTAGGGGTTTTTTATGCCTGTCACAATTTATTTACTCATTTACAGCGTTAAATGGGACCTCAAAGACCCAGGTCGTAAAATGAAATAAAATGAATTTGAATGTGTGTGCAAATATGATGCCAGCAATTAAACCATTATATTACATTTAAAAACTCACTAGTTACAGCAATTTACAAATAGAGGGACACCTTGTTGTAGACAGGTTAGACAAAAGAGTTTCAATGTATTTTTAAGTAAAGGTCTTGAAACACTTTAAGGTTTTGAAAATTTAAAACAACCTGGCCTGATAGGTAAGACAGAAAAGCTTTGTTTCAGATATACAGCCTGTTGTTTTGCTGAAGTTGTGAAGCCATGCAAAGGGAGAGGCTAATGAATGAGAGGCTGGCCCGGTCCATCCCATCCTGTCCCTGGGGCGTATCCAGTCAGCCCTGGGGGAGGAAAAGGGAGGACACCACCACTGCCTCCACAATTTCATCTCATTCAACTGAAAACAAATGTTGTCTTTAAAAAAAAAAAAAAAAACACCTCTTCCTGTGCGTTTCCCAGCTTTGTAAACCATTCAAATACACAACCAAGTTCAGACTATTTACACTTGGAGGAAAAGCTTTCATAACCTGAATGTGAAGAGGTAATCCTATTTTTAAACCATTGATAGTTTGCCAACATGATGACGCACACCCTTGAAATAACCCAGAACAATCTTAATATAGCCTATGAGCAAAACCACAGAGGGAACATTTCATTTTAATTTCAAATGTAATAAAACAGCAAGATTTAATCAATTTCCTTCATTTGTTTGGTATTAACTACTTCCCTGTCCTTTCTTCATCTCTCTTGTTCTATGAGCAGCCAGAATGAAGTCAGCTAGACACACACAGACGAAAAAGTTAATCACATTCCTTATCCTCTCAACCCCTCCCCCGCACGCGCGCGCGCGCGCACACACACACACACACACACACACACACACACACACACTAACGCAGACCATTTACACCATGTGATTGATAGTGCGCAAGATTAATTTTAGTGATGCTGTGCAAAGACAAACAGTTCACTCCATCAGAGAGCTCAAATTTCATAGTAGTTCTTTTTGTTTGATTAAAAGACATATTTTTCAAAATTCATAAAGATGGGGAAGAGTATGTAGGCCATGTGCATTATTCTACATTACTTTTAGTGGCTAAAGCAAGGTGCATGGAGTTACTTCTAATGTCTGAAAAACAGTTGCAATAAACTGTACACTGGGATAGTTTTTCCCACTCCCGCCAGGAAGTTTGTATTTCAGTAAAATATGTCTTATTAGGTTATGATTTTTTTGATCTTAATCCATGGACATTAAAAACCGCCAACCCCACTTTTCTAGACAGCTAGCCAACTACACAGCTAAAACGAGAGACTAATGTCTGTAGTTGCCCAGTCCATGTCGGAAACCCTATTTGCTCTACGCGTGTGTAAAAATGTGGCTAGTGGTTACAGTTAGGGTTAGGGGTTGGATTAGGCATAGTGTTGACCCCCTTTCACATGCACGACATGGATTGGGCACCAACATAAAACGGGTAATGACAATGGCAAATAAAACCTATATCCCATGGCTAGCCTTAGCTTAGCTAAAGCTGTATGTAGCTTGTATGTAGGCCTATTGGAAATGAAAAATACTCTTGTTGACTCAGTTTTTTATGCCACATAACTAAATAAGATAGTCACTAGCTAAACTGAGTTATGCTGGTAAAAGAATTTCCTCCTAAAGCTAACTACCTTAGCAAAACATGATGCTAGAGGAAATTGTACAGTTTGGTGTGATTAATAAACCTTTAAATCATATAATTAAATGTATTAAGTTGCAAATTAATATTGATTTCAATATAAATATTAATGGTAGATGGACAGACAGACACCTAGCAAAACATACATTTACTTCTTATAAGCTATTAACAATATATAATGAAAATAAGCAAAAACAAACAAACAAACAAAGCTGGTTTAAATGGACAACAATTTTAGCTTCCTTCTTCTCTTGCACAAACTCAGGTTTACTTTTATTTCCTACATATCTGAGTATTTGCAGTTGTAAGTCTATCTGTGTGTATGTGAATATGTTTAATATTTTATAATAGGCCTAGTTGTGGTTTTTAACATGCGAACAGACAAACTATGAGCCTGAAACAAACCTACTCTCACCCTTGTAGCCCAGTACTGTCCACTGTAGTTATTACCCTATTGGTAAATTTGAGTTTGGGGGTTTTGAAAAGAGTTTTAAAATTCACAATGATAAAATCCCATCTTAATGTGATCTATTACGGATCTATTTTTGTCTCATTTTGGGAAGCCCCCATCACAAATGCACACCTCCCAGTAGACCGGACAAAAAGCACAGGCTCCCACACTGTTTTCCCCCACAGCCTCAGGCGTGGCCGAATGCACAGGTGGAGTTTACAGTAGGCCATCATCCCTTTAACCTGATCGCCATCCTCACGAGCCACCCAAACAGCTGTCCCTCTTTTAGAAGCATTCTTTTCCCACACTGCGTTTATGTGTGTGTGTGTGTGTGTGTGTGTGTGTGTGTGCTTTAAAGGCCCCCAATGAAACCCTGTCTGAGCCCCAACCTGTTCCTTTAGCGATGATAATGACCACATTATTACGCGCCATCGAACGTCAACAAAAAAAGATTGTCGTGTGCTTTCCAATCACTTTGTGGGCACTGAGACAGAAAAAGCGAAAAGAAAAGAGTGAAATAAAGATCTAGCACTTCTCTGGGAGAGGGGTGGGTGAAGTACTTTATTTCTCCTTGCTGTTTTCCTCCTCTCTTCTATTGTTGGTAGGGCATAGTCACAGTGATCCAGAGGGCAGGGCAGCCATCTTGGTCAGCTGCCCTGCTGAGACAATTAGCGGGAGAATCACAGAGTCAAAAGACAAGCTGCTAAACATGACACAAAAAATATTCATTACAACCAGGGGGTTAGCCAATCAATTTGTGAAAAAGAAAGAAAAAAGCAAATAGGTTGCAAATTCAGCAAAGTTGTTTGGTGCGTTTGTGACAATGACGAGTGGTTTAGTATAAGGATTCATGTTAGAGTTACTTCTTCTCATTAGCTTGACACTCCTAAAGCTTCAGTAGTGATTTTGTAAATGAGTGAATAAATCTTTTGCCTCTGTCATTTTTTTTATGTCTGTATTTAATACTTATTTTTTCGAGGGACAAATATATCACATGAATCAGTGCCACACACCACAACCTATAGCTTAAGCTAGTTTGCAATGCCCATTTCTAGATGGGTCTTTAAAATACATAAAACCCAACAAAAAATACATACAAAATATCAAAAAACACAAACAAGCGCCTGATCATTGATGACTAAATGACTGATTGGAGTCATGATCCATTTTAAATTCTGTGGGGAAAGGTTCCACTAAAAAGCCATCTGTCCATTCGTTTTATTGTTGGACGAATATTGTGTCAACAACTTTGATCTTTACCCTCGCAAATTTTTGTTTCCCTAGAGATTTATACCCAAAATATATGATTTGAGTATGAAGACATGAAAGCTTTCTGTAAAATACAAAATTTGTACATTGATGGAGAATAGAAGCTGTATTGGGTAGAAACCTGTCTACACTCACCTCCAGAATAAACTCTGTCCAGCAGCTTCATATGATCTAAACTTCATATTTATATACTTATATATATATATATATATATATATATATATATACACTTCAAATTCATATTTAACTAAAATATGGCTTCCACTGAGTACAAAGTAACAATTACTACATAAAGGTCCAATTGTAATTGTTAAATAAGAACATGAGCCATTTTCTCTCTGTGTTATTAGCTGATTTTATCATATGTTGTGGACTGATACAAAACTGTAAAAATCATCAAATCTATCCTGAGTATAAAAAGTTCACATTCACTCTACATTAGACTCCCTCTGATTGATTGACCTGAATTTGTCTTTGATGCCCTCTAAACTCAACCCAGCAAAAACAAACTGAACTTGTTTTACAGGAGTGGGAAAAAGTCATCCAGGTGAGCTGTGTGCCAGGATGTGCCTGGAGCAGCTCCTCCTCGCCTTCCTGTAATTACTGCGTGGAGAGGGCACGTCCGCCGTCTGTCAGCGCGGGGCTGATGGACGACTGTGGCAGCAGAGTCAGGAAAACGTGTTCAGGTTGATGTGATGGAAACATTCACATAAGCGATTTCACAAGATCCCCTTTCATTTGCACTTAGATAAAGGATCAATAAGTAACTGCTCTTTTTGTCAAGCTAGCACACACACGCGCACACACACACACACACACACACACACACACACACACACACACACACACACACACACACAAACTCACTTTCTTTGTCTATCTCTGCCTCTTTGGTTGTCTGTTATGTCTCTTAAGCACAAGCGTGGTACAAGTATTATTCTCTCAAATCAAATTGAAGATAGACATCTTTAAGAGCACAATCATATATGTGCAGCAGAGTAATAGTAAAACAAAGCAGAACACATGAGTGGTCTCTTATGTTGCTGCATGCAGAAACATTCTTCAGCCAAACAACTCTAACTCTATGGAGGTTTTCCTG